AGTTTCGCCGTCGTAATGAAAAATGGACGATCGGGATTACACGGAGCTGGGGACCGACATGTTATCGTGACACATATACGAATTTGATAGCACCGAGCGGGTGAACAGCACCGTTTATTTTTACTCGCCGATACCAGCCCGTGATGTAAGAGCGTCGCCGGCTGCCACATATCAACCCACATTTTGCACCTATCGAAAGTCGTTTTCAGGACTTCCGTGTGGTCGATATACGATATCATGGTCGCCACTTGCTGCACGTCTCGGCGTTCCGCGGCTATTGTGATCTACGTTACAGCACCGCCCCGCGCTTCCTAATATGGCGTAATCTGACCGGTGCCGTGTCGAAGATTAAGAACGCGGATTGAATTACATAGGCCGACGGAAGCTGACATAACGTCAAACACTGATACATACTTTCTTCGCGAAACATACGACTATTGCGGACGAGGCTGGCTTTTTTCTGTATTCTGAAGTATACTGAAGAGAAGTATACTGAAGTATACTGAAGTATACTGAAGTATACTGAAGTATACTGAATTATACTGAAGAGAAGTATACTGAATTATACTGAAGTATATTGAATTATACTGAAGTATACTGAATTATACTGAAGTATACTGAATTAAACTGAAGTATACTGAAGTATACTGAAGTATACTGAAGAGAAGTATACTGAATTATACTGAAGAGAAGTATACTGAATTATACTGAAGTATATTGAATTATACTGAAGTATACTGAATTATACTGAAGTATATTGGATTATACTGAAGAGAAGTATACTGAAGTATACTGAAGAGAAGTATACTGAAGTATACTGAAGAGAAGTATACTGAAGTATACTGAATTATACTGAAGAGAAGTATACTAAAGTATACTGAAGAGAAGTATACTGAAATATACTGAAGTATGATAGTGTCAGAAGTATAATAAAGTACGGTGGAGATAGTGGTACAACGAAGTACAGTAAATGAATCGAGCTTAGTTTTTAAATGTGAAAACTTGTCCTTCGAGTCCATTGTTCTGGAATTTGGACACTTGCACTTCGAGAATTAAATTGGACCACGATATTCGATTTAAAAAATAGTCGAATTCTTAATGTATGAATCGAATTCTTGTGTATTCTTACGTATGTTTACTATGTAAGCAATTTACCCAAATTTATCGATGTTTAATTAACTTACGGCAAGCAGATTTTTCGAAAAGTTCGTCCCTTAGGACAGAGATTACCATTAAGAACACAATTTACGTTCGACATGATTAAAAATTTCTTATGTTAAGAATTATTCTACAAATTATTATAATTATTATAATATATTATAATTAAGATTATAATATATTATTATAAGTTCGTCTCTTAGGACAGAGATTACCATTAAGAACACAATTTACATTCGACACGATTACAAATTTCTTATGTTAAGAATTATTCTAAAAATTATTATAATTATTATACTATATTATAATTAAAATTATTTTAAGCATTTCGCAGATCTCTCAAACTTTCTTTTACAGAAAAAAGATATTCTTCGATGAAACTTGCGAAACGTTTTAAGTTAATAACTGCAACTCCTCGAGTATGTAGCTCTCTCTCTCTCTCTCTCTCTCTCTCTCGTTGAAAATGATACCGAGTATACATATATTTCTCGTCGCTGCGAATATGCACAGCAAGTGGCCACGACTTTCCTTTAACTCTTACTAGTCCTTGTATCGGTCGACGATTTTGCAAATCCTGGCAAGCACGATCTAGGTTGTTTTGCCAGGCATTAAGTTACTTGACGATTCTAATTGTACGTGACCGTGATCGATCGGGTTTTTAACTGGGCATTCTGTTGATTAAGCAATCGCTCACCGGTTTCTTATTGTTGAAAGCGTGAATGGAAAAGAAGAAAATCTTTCTTCCCCGCGTTTATCTCGAACACTATGAAACGCGGATTACTGTTCCGTGGCCAGCTTTAACTGGAAATAAATCGCTCGTTATAGAAACGGCTCCGCGAGGATCTGTGTTCAATAATAATCGAATTTTAACATGTACTTGTCACACAATTGTCATTAAATCTTAATCGAGCTGCTGACTGATGAACTACTGATTTTCATTCGGATGCGAATCGATGCTTCACTTTTTTCAATACCTCGATAATGAAATATACAATTATTTACAAAATAATACAAATTTCATAAAAAGAAACTAATTCCATTCAATTTTTAAATTTAATAGGAATTTATACATTTATTTACAAAGTAATACAAATTTTATTACAAAGAACCGATCTGCAATAATTGTTAAAACTTTATTGAAGTTTCAAATTTAATACAAATTTATACATTTATTTTGAAAATAATACAAATTTCATTGCAAGGAACCGATCTGCAATAATTATTAAAACTTTATTGAAGTTTTGAATTTAATACAAATTTATACATTTATTTCCGAAATAGTGTACAAATTTTATTACGAAGAACCGATCTGCAATAATTACTAAAACTTCATCGAAGTTTCAAATTTAATAAAAATTTGTACATTTATTTCCAAAATTATACAAATTTTATTAGAACCAACTAATCTGCCACAATTACAGATAAAACTCGATTCAACGTTTAAATTTAACACGAATTTCACCACGAACAATTTCTGCCTTTGAATAAGTCCCGCGAAAGGGTTAATTTCGCGCGGGGAAATAGATGAATACGATCCGCTGAATTTCCATTTTCGCGAAAACGAGTCCCGCGCCGCGCATTACGAAAATCAATCAATTTGCCCAACATTTCAATCCGACGCCCGTTAAAGGTGAAAACCCGCGGAAGGGCTTGAAAACAAAGGCGTCTCATCAAACAAAGGACCCACGGGTTGAAATTTAAAAATCGCCGAGAGTATCCTGGGCGAACAAAGCTCAGCAATCATCGCGGCTCTATCCTCGAAAGGTCCGACCAACGAAAGTGGTAAGATGGTTCCGGGGCATCGATCGTCGCCGGCATTAAGCCCGAGTGGAAGAGGAGGACGGAGGAAAGAAGAAGAAGAAAAAGATGGAGACGGAGAGAACGAAAGAAAAAAAGCGAGCCGGGGACGACGTTTCTGTTCTCGAGTTACGTCTCCGATCGTCGTGAAATCGGATTTAATAATCGTGTTTTCACCCCTGTTCGACGGCGGTCGGGCACCCTCTGCACGTCCCGCGGTTTCCCCGATTTCCACGGGTTTTCCGGCAAGAAATCTCCGCAAGTGCGAACGATTTTGTCGGCTTGTACAAACGGTACTGCCGGTATTCCGGTAATCAAGCTGTGCCGAAACCGATGCAATAGCGAAATCGTAGCAGTACCGAGACGTATATGAACAACGAAATCGTAATGAAGATCTTATCGGTTTTTCTTTCGGCGACGCAGCAGATATTTTATTCATAAGATATTAGATAGATATTAAATAGATATTTTATATAATTTAATAATTATATAATATGATAATTATATAATTATATAATACAATATAATAATTATATAATTACATATATCATAATTTAATAATTAATATTAAATAATACGTTTGCAAACCTCTTCGATTTTAATCATAAAAATACATACTGGCATAATGTTGCACCCTCGTGTAAAAATATGAATACATTTTAGTATGATTGAATATAGGGTGAGATGGGCATAATATTTCTTGCGAAAT